CCTGGCACCCCTGAGCCGCACGCTCCGATACCCTGTGATGATCACTCACCGCTTGTGTGTCCTTCCTTAGGATGCAGCACCATGGTTCACGCGTTCCTCATCCATACGCTGCACCCTCGGCCCGGGGAAGAGGCCGGGCTCTGCCGGGTGCTGTATTCCAGGGTCTTTGGCTCTGAGAGGCCGGACCAGTCCCCGGAGCAGCCCGGGCCGCATGATCTCGAGAAGGAGAGACTGGGCAGGAAGGAGCAGATTTTGGCTGTGGCCAGGTAAAAGATTCACCCCCATCTGAATGTGACTGTGCTGCAGGGCCCAGCACAGGGGGGTGGAGTTAGTGTTTTAGAATCTAAGGGTACATCTACACTGCAGAGAGAAAGGAACTGCGGCAGCAAGACTCCGAGCCCAGGACAGTTGAATTGGGCTCATGCTACCAGGCTGAAAATAGCAGTGGAGACCTTCGGGTGAGCAGAGAGGAAAGTTAGGAACCATTAGGAAAGGGATAGAGAATAAGACAAAATATCATATGCCTCTATATAAATCCATGGTATGCCCATGCCTTGAATACTGTGTGCAGTTCTGGTCGTCCCATCTCAAAATAGATGTATTAGAATTGGAAAAGGTACAGGAAAGGGCAACAAAAATTATTAGGGGCATGGAACGGCTTCTGTATGAGGAGAAGTGAAAAACACTGGGACTGTTCAGCTTGGAAAGAGATGACTAATTGGGGGGGATATGACTGAGGTCTATACAATCATGACTGGTGTGGAGAAAGTGAATAAGGAAGTGTTATTCCTCATAACACAAGAATCAGGGGTCAGCCAATGAAATTACTAGGCAGTAGATTTAAAACAAACCAAAGGAAGTATTTCTTCACACAACGCACAGTCACCCGTGCCAGGGGATGATGTGAAGGCCAAAAGTATAACTGGGTTCAAAAGTTCATGGAGGATGGGTCCACCAATGGCTATTAGCCAAGATTATCAGGGATGCAACCCCATGCTCTGCGTGTCCCTAGCCTCTGTTTGCCAGAGGCTGGGACTGGGTGACAGGGGATGGATCACTCACTAATTGCCCTGTTCTATTCATTCCCTCTGAAGCACCTGGCTTTGGCCACTGTCGGCAGCCAGGATCCGGGGCTGGATGGACCTTTGGTCTGACCCAGTCTGGCCATTCTTATGTCTTAGAGCCCTGGCTCCAGCCCAGCCTGAATGTCTGAGCTACTGTTTATAGCCTCGTAGCGTGAGCCCCGTGAGCCTGAGTCAGCTCACCCGGCTTCTGAGACTTGCTGCCCGGGGGCTTTTTTGGTAGGGTAGACGTACCCTTAGAGTCTAGAACAGGGCACGCTTTGGGTCCCTTATCCCCCACTGGGGAGAGGAGCGAATGTGAACGTCCCAGGGAGCTCTTTATAAAGTAAAATACCCCAGCTGTTCTCTGGGCTTCATCCCAGAGGGAAAGGCTTGGTACGTCCCTTCCAGCCCACCGTGCCCCAGAGCAGGCTTGTTCTGCAGGGCTTTGTTTTGTCTGGTTTTAAACTTCCCAAGCAATGGGGCTCTCACATGTTCCCCTTGGGGGATGAATCTGCAGCAGGGGTCGGTAACCTTTCAGAAATGGTGTACCGAGTCTTCCTTTATTCACTCTAATTTAAGGTTTCGTGTGCCAGTAATACTTGTTAACATTTTTAGAAGGTCTCTTTCTATAAGTCTATAATATATAACTAAACTATTGTTGTAGGTAAAGTAAATAAGGTTTTAAAAATGTTTAAGAAGCTTCATTTCAAATTAAATTAAAATGCAGAGCCCCCCGGACTGGTGGCCAGGACCCGGGCAGTGTGAGTGCCACTGAAAATCAGCACGCGTGCCGAAGGCGGCACGCTAGCCATAGGTTGCCTACCCCTGATCTGCAGCCTGCGTCATCTTGCTGTCAGGCAGACCTTCCAGAGATGTTCAGGTCCTGTTTCCTTTTCTTAATCCCATCCTCTTATAAAATGACTGTAATTCTGTGTCTCCCTCCGTTTCTGGCCTTTCCCAGGCAGGTGGATTCAGCATGTAAACTGCTGCACCAGGCGTCAGGGCGCCCTGCCTCTGACTTCCCCATCCAGCTGCCCGACGAGCCCATTTCCCTCCAGGATGCCCCATCCGGGGTGTTCCGCCTCCCTCCCGGGGATCCCTTCTGTGAGAACAAGACGGTGCTCTGGCTGGGGGTCCTGTCTCTGGGCTTCGCTCTGGTGTGCGACCCCCAGGAGAACCTGACGCTGGCCGAGAACACCCTGCGGCTGGTGGTAAAGTATCTCCTGGAGCATCTGAAGTTGCTGAACCAGGGCAGCGACGTGGTCCTCAAGGCAGACAAGACCGAGATCATCTTGAGCAAGTTTCTGCCCCATGGGCAGTTGCTCTTCCTGAATGATCAGTTTGTCCAGGGACTAGAAAAGGAGCTGGGTGCCTGTCTGGCCAAGTAGAAGGCTCTTAGTGGAGTGTGCCATCGGTGCATCTGCTGGGCAAACCCTCTGCCTGGGTCAGTCGGCAGGCAGCATGAACGGTTGGGGGGGGCGGGGGTGCACTGTCGTTTAAAGGAGACACATCAAGGTTGGTAGTTGTGGCCCTACTAGGTTTTATTCTCATCGTTCTGGCCATGCAGCACGTCCCTCTGGCTGCCTCCTCCCACCGAAATCTCCTGTCCCACAGCGGAGGCGGTGGCCGCCGTTAGAGGAAGGGGGAGATGTGTGTGCGGTTGGGGAATCAGCACTTGTCACCCGCTTGAAACGATTGGTCAGTTCCTATTCTCAATAAACTTCGCTTGGCTGGGAGAAACCCGCCTGCGCCATCCACTGCTCAAGGGTGCCCTGTTTCCTCCTCAGTGTGAGTTGAGGGCTGGGGCGAGGAGCCGGCCTCTTGGATCTTTGGCGGATGGGTGGAGCTCCACCCTCGGGATCAATAGCCACCTCCTCCAAAGGGCAGTGGGGGATGTCTTGGGGCAAATGTAGAGCGGGGCTAGGAGTGAGGTCAGCCAAGGTAGGACGCCTGACAGAGCACCCCAAACAACGCTCACTGCTCTGAGAGGATGGGGAGGGAGCAGTGGATGCTGCCCAGAGGTGCTCAGGGCAGACTGGGACTCAGAAAAAGGCCTCATGATCCCTGAGCACCTCCTCATCCATTTCCTCCCGCCTGGGCAGATCGGCGGCCATCTTGGCCAGCACTAAGGTGGCTGCGGAGGCCTCTGGCCTTAGTGGAGCTGCAGATCTGGGGGAGGGGGTGGGCGGGGTAGAAGGCAGGAAATGGGCCACTGGGCCATTGCAGATGGGCAACGGGGTCTCCCTCTCATCACCAGGGGCGGGTGGCGGAGGAATTGGTGAACCTGTCACCATTGTATCCATTCCCACAGCTTTAAACCAGTTCTTGGAGAGGTTCAGTCATGGCTTCGAAATCCACTCCTGATGTGGGAGGCTCCGAGCTGTGTGGTCCTCCTCTCCTCTGGCCAGGACCCACCGCGTACCAGCCGCTGTGCACCGGTCACTCATGGCTAGGAAGGAATGATCCCCACAGACGTTGACCCATTGACTACAATGGGCTGGAGAGGCCTGTCAGCCAGGGATCTGTCGTTTTTATGAGACACGCTGCTTTACACCATTTTAAAGTGGGCCAAATCCTCCACTGGAGCAAAGCTGCTGCACCAATTTACAGCAGGTGAAGAGCTGGTGCCTCTGTCTTCTCTGCCCTGACAACACACCTGTCCCCAGAGGGGGAGAGCGACGGTGGGACAAGACGATGATGATCAATGCACGGCTCAGGCCGTGGAGCTATAAGGATCTCTGGGATGTTCGATCACTGGGAGGCGTTCATGGACAGAGGTCTGTTCTCATGGGACGGACTCCGGCTGGGTAGGGAAGGAAATAGATTCTGGGATGGAGGGTGGCACAACCGATTAAAAGAGCTTTAAAGAAGGAATTCAGGGGAGATGGGAGATGCTCATGTAATCTCCAGCCCTGACTTTAACATTGAGTGGGAGGAAAATCAAGTAAGAGCGGATACAGCAGTGGAGAAAGGGACAGCAGAAGGTAGGAGAAGGAACAACAAGAGGAAAGATAGTGCCCACAGGAATGACACTAACAGTCACGGGGGCGATAAAGTGACTGTACCTAATCGGGTGAGGAATCTGGGCGAAGCCGAGCAGAAACAATTAAGATGTCTGTACACCAATGTAAGAAGTCTGGGGAACAAAATGGAGGAACTAGATCTACTGGTGCAGGAAGTGAAACCAGATGTTACAGGGATAACAGGAACATGGTGGAATAGTAGGCAGGACTGGAGTACAAGTACTGAAGGATAACTGCTGTTCAGGAAAGACAGAAATAAAAGTAAAGGTGATGCAATAGGTAGGGCCCACACTTTCCAGGCTGTGAGAGCTGACAGATTTCTTTACCAAATAGTCACCAAATCAACAAGAGGTGATGCCATTTTAGACTGAGTGTTGGTGAGTAGGGAGGACCTCCGGAGAAGAACTGGTTGTAGGGGACAACATTGGTTTGCATGATCATGAGCTAATTCATTTTCAACTAAATGGAAGGATAAACAAAAGTAGGTCTGCAACTAGGGGCCTTGATTTCAAAATGGGAAACTTTAAAATATTAAGGCAATGAACGAGGGGAATGGACTGGGCTGAAGAACTCAAGGATCTGAAAGTGGGGGAGGCTTGGAATTACTTTTCAGTCAAAGTTGCAGAAGCTCCCTGAAGCCTGCACCCCAAGCAAGGGGAAAAACTTCCTAGAGAAGGGTTGCAGACCAGGCTGGATGAACAAGCGTCTCACATAGGTGATTAAGAGAAAGCAGAAATCCTACAAGGAATGAAAGATGGGATGGATCACCAAGGAAAGCTACCTGTTGGAGATCAGAAAGTGCAGGGATAAAGTGAACTGTCAATAGCCAAGCACAGTTGGACCTTGGAAACGGAATTAAAAGCAACAGTAAATGGTTCTATAGCCACATAAACAAAAAGGAAACAAGGAAGGAAGCAGTGGGACTGCCAAACACGGAGGATGAGGTGGACATTAAAGATAATCTAGGCATGGCCCAACTCCTAAACTAATACTTTGCTTCAGATTTTAATAAGGGAAATGAGTTTCGGGGTAGTGGCAGGGTGGCTAATGGAAATGGGGATATGGAAGTAGAAATTACCACCTTTGAGGTGGAAGTCAAACTCAAACAGCTTAATGGGACCTAATCAGTGGGTCCTAATCAGTGGGTCCAAATAATCCCCATCCAAGACTATTAGAGGAACTTCCAACTGCAAGCCCAATAGCAAGGATTTTTAATGAATCCATAAATGCAGGGGTTGTGTCCTGTGACTGGAGAATTGTTAACATCCTACCTTTTTTAAGAAAGGGGAAAAAGTGACCCAGGAAACTACAGGCCTGTTAGTCTGACCTCAATTGGATGCATAGTTTTAGAACAAATTTGGAAAGGGAAAGTAGTTAGGGACATAGAGGTAAACAGTGATTGGGATAAAATACAACACGGTTTTACAAAAGGTAGATCGTGCCAGACCAACCTGATCTCTTTCTTTGAGACGATAACTGATTTTTTAGATAAAGTCAATGCAGCAGATCTCATCTATCTGGATTTCAGTGGCATTTGATACAGTTCCACATGGGGAATTATTAGTCAAATTGGAGAAGATGGGGATTAGTGTTGTTG